AAGGAAAGAAGGAAAGAAGGAAAGAAGGAAAGAAAGAAAGAAAGAAAGAAAGAAAGAAAGAAAGAAAGAAAGAAAGAAAGAAAGAAAGAAAGAAAGAAAGAAATTCCGGATGGAACCATGAGCACTTTCTATTGTGGGAAGACCAGTAAGTGTTGGACTAAGGCACCATCAAGCTCCCTGTGCCAGCTAGGAGAAGCAGCACATGGCTGCCACCCCAGACTCAACAGATGACAAACTTGGGCAGATAACCAGATGCCCCTCGTAGGAAGAGCAATCTGCTAAAAATGGGAATTTTGGCTACGGTGGGAAAAAAGTTAAAAAGAGTTTAATGTACTGTCAGTAAAGGTATAAATGAAATACAAACGTATATAAACACACACACATACACACACACTTCCATCCATTGGCTTAAGAATGGCTTTCCTGATTGTCTGACTTCTTTCTACAGGGACACATGTAGACACAGGTCATGTGTGACATTAGATCAGGTAAGCTGCATTCTCCTGACAGACTCTTTGCTGGAGGTGGTGGAGTGGTCAGAAGTGTGTGTTCTGGAGCTGGGCTCGGACCTGAGCGACCTTGGGCATTTCACTTCTCAAGGTGTTCCTTTGTATGCTATCAATGGAGAGAATACTGATATTATGGTATTATCATGCCAATTACATGAAATATCATAAAGGCTTTGTATATAGTGTATGCTCAGTGAACTGTGGCTGTTCCTGTTTTTGGAGGTGTGAAGCCTAGGAAAGTCATGGAGAATTTTCTGTACGTGGGGGTGAGGCAATCAACGGTCAAACTCTGTGGTGGCAGTGGGGTGATGAGGGGAAGAGAGGTGAAAAGATGACCTAACAGTAACTACTACGGGGTTTTCCATACTACCGATTCCTCATGCCCCTCTCTCACAGGGTGGCTGTTACGGTGGCTTGCTGGCACCGGTGGGAATATCCTAGCCCAGCTGGTACGCCGGGGTGGAGCAAAGTTTGAGATTTAGCGCACAAGGGTATCTTCACGAGGCCTCTGTTACCTTAGTCAGGGAAGCATCTTCCTAACAGTAGCAAAGGAATCAAAGGCTCCTTTGCAAAGGCGGGGGAGCAAATCGGGGGACACTGGCCAAACTAAGGACCCCTGTGGTGTCTGCGGCCCTGTGCAGACCGCCAGCTCTAAAGTAGCATGAAACTGCGCTCCTAAATCAGAGCCCCTGGAGAAGAACAAGCTCGGGATCTTGCCAGGCTAGAGCTTCTAGTCCGAGGCATCCTGTCTGAGTGGTAGTGCAGAGTGAAGGAGAATTAGCTCATACGGTGGTGAGCCGCAGGCGCCCAGCCTCATTGGGGGCCGAGAAAAGTGGCAGGGAAGTCTACACACCGCAGGCCGGCCCCAGGAAGCCAGCGGTGTATAGCCCATCAAGGAATGAGGCAGCTGCCCCCTGACTTTTCAACACTCTGCTCACCAGCTCTGAGAAGATGCTGTAGGCTGACCATGTCCCTGTAAAGGGAGAATCTGCTCAGGAAAGGAATTCCAATTCGAGCACCAGGCTTGGAGTTTGAGTTGTCCCTTCATCTAGTAGCCACCAGCCACTGTCCTTGATTAGATATCAAGGTCTCAGGCATAAACCCTTTACTCCAAACCCCTCGCCTGTGGCCCACAAGAGTACCACGCTCTTTCATTTTAAGACATTTTAATGTACTAAACACTATTTTTGCTGGCATCAGTATCTAATGCATTTTGAAGCAAGGCTATTACATTTAATCTGATGATTTATCATGTTAGAATTCACTGTATACAAGAACGTTCTGGCCTGTACAAAATGTCTCCAAACAGTAGAGAAAACTGCTCAATGTGGTTTTTTTTTTTTTTTTTTTAACAAAATAAAAGGACTCACCTGAAAGATATGGCAAAGGCTTGCTGAGTACATTAAAAAGGAAAAATCAAAGTCCTTAATTTATAGATTGTCCCAGGAATCACTACATTTTTCAAATCTGTTGTTAGACGGACTTTTCTTTCTTAAAAAAAATTTTTTTTTACATCTGGAGTTGAGACATTAAGCTGTTCCATATGTGCCACAGACTAAAATAAAGTCACAACCTTGGAAAACATAATGCCAAATGTCTCCTTCAAAGTCCGATGCAAATGAGATCCTTCTCACCTTTCTACACATTCCTTGACAACAGCAAAATTTCCATCCCCTATTGTTCTTCCGACTTTATACCGTTCTGTTATTGTGGCTGGAATCTGGAAGCCTTCCTCCAACACTTCTGAAAGAAACATTAGTACATTTTTATCGGTAGAAAAGGGAACGCAGATGTTGCACCAGAGAAACATTTAGAAGTATCATCGGATAGACTGGAACGGATTCAGAATCAATATGTCACTTTCTGTAGAGGGAGGCAAGCCCCTGCTGCTGACATTGTATACTCAACAGTTTTTTACTAAGACAAATGATAAACTAAAAGGAAACGTAAAACGTATGGGGTCCGCTCCCACCGATGGAAGAGGGGCAGCGGGGATTCAGAGAAGGAAGTTTGGCTATTCCAGTTTCGTGCCAATGTGATCAATAGTGTTTGCAGAATACCCACGAAATGGCATTCCTGGGGAAGGCTTAGGAGGAAAATGGAGCTTACAGGGGACGCCGGACTGCTTGACATGGTACAAGCATGAAGCGCGCCTGCTGTTTGGACACTTAGCTTTACTACATCCTGAAGTGGAGATCTCCGTAAAATTTCTTAGGAACTAAGCCCTGGGCGCCACCCCTCTCCAGTATCAATGAGCAGATTTTAGACAAATGTTCTCACCAGTAACCTGCATAGCAGATGTTGAGTTAAAATTGCAATATTTATTATGTCTGTGAACAGAACAGTTTTGTAGTTTCAATTATGTTAGTGCCACTAACACAACACATTTTCCCCCTTAAAATGCATTTTGAAATATTTTACAAATGCCTAATAATGCTTTAAATATCTAAGGCCATAAAACTAAATAAGCCACACTTAGGTCACATAAATATACTGGATAACCTTTAACATCTTAGGGGTGTAAAAAGCCTTTTATTGCTGGGCTCTAAAATTTACATGCTTTAAAGTTATAAATCCTAGCCCTCCCTCAGGCAAACTGAATACAAAATGTGATGGAAGCCTAGTGTGCTTTCTAAATGTGCTCCTATTCTGACCTTTAATCATAAACGGAGACTAAACATTTCTTCTCGAAATAAAAGTAAAACCTTAGGCAGTGCCTAGGCTTTCTTGGTGATTTTTGTATTCTCTATTAGTCTGCATCACTGGGGACCAACAAATGGAAACTCGCAATCATCACACATCTGCTTTAGGACCCTTATTCTGGTTCTGGGATCATGCTCAATCTGCACCACTCTGGATTCTAGGGTGGATGGAATTTCTGGAAAGGGTTGTACAAAGTAGGACATTTGCTGCTGCTATTTTTACCCTTGGCATTTATTTGTGCAGCCTCTTTGCCTCTTTATACAGATACATTTTAGTCTTTGCCCACTAGAAGCTATCACAGAGGTTTCTAGAATACAGTGAGAGGTGAAGCCAATTAATACCCCCTCCCTAATCCCCACCATCTCACACCCAAAGAAGCCAGTTATTTTGCCTCTGAAAGACTTAGCCTGGGGATTCTTGTCGACTCCATGGGAATCAGAGGAGATGGCTGGAGAAGTTTCAAACCCACTGCAAAGAACCCGAATTTATAAAACATCTCTCAGATGACACGGTCTTAAGGCTTTTTACTACATGGATAATAAAAATAACCTTCCTTGGCTGTCAGAGGCAAGTCTGACTCCAGATGGGAAACGGAAGGAGGTACTTCATCCCTCCTTGCAGTGGATGCATCACTGAGGCACCCATCTGGAGCACATGGTTTGGGATTTTTTTTTCTCCTATTGATAAAAATGTATCTTCTTGGCTAAGAAGGCTTTGTCAAAGTCTTAGCCAAGGACCATTTCATTTCATTAGGTAAATACAACACAGTGGAACAAAAGGGACTTCTAGATGGCTGAATTTCATAGTTCCGGAAATGCAAAAAAACAAAAACAAAAACAAAACCCAAACAAAAGAAAACAACTCTGGTACTTCACGGTAATCAGGAAACAATTCATGTGGAAATCACTTATCTCATCTGACATAATCGAAGTGCTTCCCCCCACCCCCACCAAAGGTACTTCTTCTGGAAAATTAAATAATATCATTTCCAACAAATAAGGGATACTGGTTCTTTAACAGTGGCTTGATCACATCAGTTTTAAAATTTTCTAAACACTGTCTCATAATTGATTTGAGCCTGATAATGACACCCAGGGAGGAAAGAAGTATATATTATAATACTATACAATTTGATAGAAGGGGAACTAAGGCGCAGAAAGCTGAAGAGGCTTATCCAAAACAATCCAGCAAGTCCGTGAAAACAGTCAATTCTGAAATCCAGGTCATTTGACCACATCACAGAGAAATTCTAAAATGAACTAGCTTAAGGTACAAAGAATATTCTTGCAATTGCTGTCAAGTAATTCTTTTTGTAAGGCCATATTTTCACATATTGAGTTCACTTAAGTACATCTGTGGGGCTCTAACGGGCAATGGAGAGAGTAAGTATACTTTAATATACTGAAAGTGAACAGAATTCAGGAAAACAAAGGCAGCCATTACTTCCTTCTATTTTCAAAGTAGGCAAGAGCTGGCCTTCTTAGAATACTTATACCCTCAGAGGACGTGAAATATCCAAATGGGCTAATTCCCTTTTCCTGTTCCCAGAGAGTAGATATGATCCCTAGGGGAAACCATATGCAATCCTATCCCCTTGCTCTGACCCCCAGGAGCTGAATTAAGCTTCTATTTCGTAATGCTCGTGAAGTTACAGTTTTCTAAAGTAAATTTGGCCAGCCCATCCTCTGCCCCCCTGTACAAGGCAAGCCTTCTCCTCAGACACCAAGTTCCCAAGCTCACCACCTTCTCCGGGTCCATCATTCTCGTCCATTGAGCTGCAGACTTTGGTGGATGCAAGCGAAGTAGAGGAGCCTCCATGTTGAGAGCTCTGCAGAAGGGAACAGAAACAGAGAATAAAATCACTGTGTCAGTGTCAGTCTCCAGCTGCTCTGCCCAGCCCAGAATCTCGGGAGATAATTGCACCCATCACCAGGGAGGATTTGCTCTGAACACTCGAAAAGGGAGGTTCTTAGACTATTCCATTGAATTACTTCTCTTTCCCGCCCTATTAACCAATAATGGATGGTTTAACTGTGTCAAGATAATCTCTCTATATTTGGATGTTCCTTGACTTTTTATTCCTTTTTCTCAAAATCAGCATCCCATAGCTTACTGTTCAGGTTTGTCAGGGTTTAAGCATCTCACCTCACTTTTCCACAGTCTATCTGCAAACAGGCCTGAAATATGGCTCCACTCTGATCTCATCCAATGTTGTTTTCTATTCTTACCATAGGAAAAAAAATTCTCTTCAGTTTATTTTATGGAATATTCTTAAAAAAATATTGAGGCTTACCACATCGTTGGAGAAAGGTTATAGAGTGGGTTTGTTAATTCCACTTTGCAAGAAAGACACAAGCACTAAGCTGGTTATCAATATGTTAACTGCTACAAAATAAGTCTGAGGCAAAGACAAGACTAAAAGCCTAAGCCTGGTGATTCCCTTGTATTTTTGGTGTATTTTGGCTCAAGACCAATGAGAGCAGACAGGGTAACAGCTCTATGACAAAGCTCAGAGGATGAAACAATACCAAATATTTAGTACTATGATTAGCTACGGGGCAATACTTTAACAATGAACCTTTGCATCTCTGCATCTATTCCTTGAGCAAACAATCTGCACATTTCAATGCTATTTCTAAACAGTGAACACAGCTTGTCCTAAAAGATCTTCCTTCTGTTTCCCTGGGTTTATCCACTTGGTTGGCCTGATGGGAGCAGGAGGCGGTGAGGGGGCGGCATTGGCTCATGGTGCCGGCTGTCTGTGGAGCAGAGAGAAGGGAAAGAGCATCTGTAGTTGAATTAATAATGAAGAGGTGGCGAGAAGCAAAGCTGACCTATTTTTCCTCTGCTTACCTGTTTCCCTTCAACCTCCTCCCCATTCCATCCAGCCTTAACGGTACACAAAGTAGGAGGGAAGAGAAAGCTTTATGTAAGTCCTTTACCCCCAACAGTATCATTGCATAAAAGCAAAGATGGTAGTTTTCACCAGAAAGACTGACATCACTGGGAAGATGTTACTTAAATCACCGCAGGGCCATTTGAGTCCAGTGCCTGTTCTCTCAGGTGTGGCTAAGATAAATGTGCTCCATTGGACAAGTTCATCAAAGCTGGCAGCTGATCTTGGGGTAAAAGTTAAATTCACGGAAAGGATGCATCTGCTTATACAGAGGGCATCCTAGAAGTTTTCTGGGGACTCTACAATAACCCTGAATGCCACATAGTTTGTGTGATGTGTCATTTATTTTCCTATATCATAAGAATTCCCCCATCAACCAGTCTGGTGACTTGAGCGGGGTCTTTTCCGTTTCACCCAACCTCCCTTTGTGACAAGCAGCACACATTTATCCTCTATCAGGCTAGAAAGAGGGATCAGTTTGTGACCTTGAAACAGATCTCTCTTGGGATGATACTAACTATATAGTCATAACTCTGTCGAAGGTACTGTAAATGTGTGAGCTTCTAAGTCATGCTCTCCTGACTTTTACCGATGTCTGTTTGTAAAAAACCTTGTATTTGTAATATTGGAATACAAGGCTTAAACAAGGCAGATTTGTGATGCTGGTGTCTGGAGAAAATAAACATTAACATTACCACATTTGAGAGGAAGGGGTGTGTTTTCCAGAAAGTGAGATCTTTTATCCCCTGTGTCATTGCTTTTGCTGTAGACATAATGTTGTTCCAAGCAGAAAAGCAGTAAGCAGACGTCTAAAATGTAGACCTTCTCTTCTGGGCTTTGTGATCCTTGAATTTCTTCCAGCAGCATCACAAGTGGTGTTTAATAATGTAGACACATTGCGGTTTGGGGTGGCAGGTGCCGTCTTGTCATATGGTGTTTTAATTTTTAGAATACAAAGCCACATTCTTTCATCAAGCACTCGAATTAATAGACTGGGGTAGAGTGTTTCCTAGCAAAGATGTCCACATTTATGCACTCAGTTCCAAAAGCTTGTTCTTTTAATAAGAATATCAGCTACTCAAAACAGAGCTCTGACCCAGGGGCACCTGGTGGCTCAGTCGGTTAAGCGTCCGACTTCAGCTCAGGCCATGATTTCGAGGTCCCCGAGTTCCAGCCCCACGTCAGGATGTCAGGATCTGGGCCGACAGCTCAGAGCCTGGAACCTGCTTTGGATTCTGTCTCTCTCTCTCTCTGCCCCTCCCCTGCTCATGCTCTGTCTCTCTCTTTCTTTCTCAAAAATAATAAACATTAAAAAAAAAGAACTCTGACCCAAAGTATACGAAAACATCATTTAACTTGTAATGTGTTATAAACTAGCTGGATATGATTCACTGAAGTGCCGCATCAACGAACTAGTTACAGTTTTTACAGTGTCGCCAAATGTCTGCTGCCCTGAGCGCTTGCCACAATGCCAGCTGTGTTTTCTCTGCCTTATGGACCAAAAACCCTCAAGGTTTTTAGGCTCTGGTTTAAAAAAAAAAAAAAAAAAAAAAGTAGAGTTAACACAAGTTTACATTTAGATTGCTTATTTTCAACTTCAGGTTTGAAAATGTACCCAAGGTAATTTCAAACTTCAAGTTGAGGGTAACGATTTTAAGAGAAAAAAATGATTTAATTACCAGTAGAACTCCAAGTGGAAAGTTCTTATTTAATTTATTATGCTCAAACAGAGTAAAAGATTCAGAGTAGTAGATTTTTAATGGGGTAATCACTTCTTTTTCCCAAAGAAGGCAGTTAACATTACATACTTTTCCAAGAGAATGATTATTCATGGATTCAAAGAACTTCAGGGATTGGAGTAGGCCTTAAATATTACCTATTCCATCCTACTTCCATTCAAAGACCAAATTCTCACTATAAAAATCCCAGCCATGTGGTCAAATAGCCTCTGTCCAAACACTCTGCAAGTGAACACATTACTTCTTGAGGTAGTCCCTTAATTGTTCACATGAGGCAAAGAAAGTTCTTCTTTATGTTGAAATTGATGTTCTTCTATGTTTTCCACTCATTGGTCTTAGATCTCACCTCTGGAGCTATCCAGTACAGGTCTAATCCACTTATCGACAGTGCTTCAAGAATTTGGGAATAGTTACTAAACCCCTTCAATTTGGATATTTCTAGGTTTTTTTGTTTTTTTATTATTTTTTTTATTGTTCATCAGGTGACAAGGTTCCATAACCCCTTTATACTCTTATGGGTGCACTCTGATTCTCAATATCTCTTGTTAATAATGCTACTGCTCAAACAAATGTAATATTCTAGGTGTACCTGAGCAGCATAGATCAGAGGATAGAGCTTTCTTCCTTGTGAACAGAATATTAATGCACTTTAAGATCACACTGGCTTGTTGATAGCACCGTAACTTTTTAGCCTAACACTGAGTTCACAGATATGTTAGATCTCCCCAGTCTGTATTTGGCAGGGTGGTGTTTTGGATCAAGTGTAAGACTTCCTATTTATTATGTTAAGTGTCATATTTATTACACTGATATGCTTGCAGACTGTTATTTTTTGGATTCTGATTTTGTCACCTAATGTTTTTGTCTTCTCTCCTGGTTGGAGTGATTCAATAATAAACATGACTCTTTGTGTATGCTAGTTACTAATCCTAAATATACTAATTTAGACAGTGCTGGAACATTTTGATTACCACCCATAAGTCTGATTGGAGAATTTTGAAAATTACTTAAGGGAGAATGTGTAAATTTTTGCTCTTTAGAAATAACCCAATGAGATTAATCAGCCTTTATCTGTGACCAATAGAAGCTGAAAGCCCACTTATATTTTTGCAGGCTTACAAGTGAAATCAGTTTACTTATTTGGCTTTTCTGAACAGATAAACCTTTTTATAGTATACATAATAAGACTTTTTCTTTGCTTCAGTTTGCTAGTTCTAAGGCATCTGGGTGTATAGTACAGAACATACAGTTATTTCAGAATTTAATGCAATTAGCTGCTCTAAGAGACATTGTGACATTTGAAATGTTATCACCTTCAAGCTGATTTAATGGGAACCAGGTGGGCAGGTTGCTGGCACCCAGATGCTTTCATGCACACCTTCATAAAAGTACTGCCTTAAGTAAGAACACATCCGAAGTGGAGCTTTTCAGCTTGGGATCATATAACAGATGGAGAACATATCACACTTTTTGAAGTAAGTGAGAAAGCTGACATAACAGCTCTAACCACATTTTACCAAGATGTATCTGATGACTACGTAGTTAAAAACATTTCATTTTAAATATAATGGTACTAGTTACCCCTGCCATTTGTATTAATGGTGTCACTCACCTGAGGTCTACACTGAATAAAGTTTTCAAAAATTTCCAATTGATCCAACTGATCTACTCAAGGTAGAAAAATCTCACCACACAATTTTAGCTTTGATTGGATAACTGTATTACTTCCACTTCACATTCTGTCTTGGCATACAATTATTACTTTGTTAATATTGATTTGAAAAACTGTAAGAAAAAGAATTTAAAAATCAAGCGGATCAACTTTATAAAGGAAACAAACACAACCAATAAATATTTACCAAACTCAAACTACTGTCTTGATGATCTTGAGGTCTATGGAATCTCTAAAGATGACCTCCTTTAATAAAAAAAATTAAATCAGACCCAGTGTAGAAAGCTTAAAACCTGAGGATTCTGTGTGAGTACAGACACATCATACATTCATTTGCTCTCTAAGTGCATATAGAACAACAAGTTGGTGACATCAATCTATCATAACCAATAAGGTGTTATTATGTGAAACAAGACAGAGGGGAATTCCTCTTTTTTCAAATTCCTCTGTTTGCATTCTTCATAGCATGTTCCCCTCAATACAGTTTATGACACAAGTAATCATGTGCGTAACAAGAATCA